GGGGGGGGGGGGTTTACTGTCCTCCTGAAAAGGATTTGTCAGCTAATTGGAAAAATGTATTCTCTTCCATAGAACAGGAAGGGTGGTATTAATTCAAAATGCCATGATTGGTTCAGCCAAACATGGGACATCAACACAGTGACATCCTCTACGTAGGACAGATTTAGTCCTGGAAGGGAAAGTTATTCCATCTCCATTCCAGAATACTGATGGTAAAAGATTAAGCCTGGTGAGATTAAATGCTCTTCTGTAAGAAACAGAAGGAATGATATTCAGATACTTAGGAAAGGAAAGGACCAGCCCCATAGGCACTAGTGAGAAATGATTCTTCCCCTTTGGAAGTCTTAAATCCAGAATATGTTGCTGGACCTCCTGTAAATCCCTCTCAGATCCTAAACAATTGAGTAAAAACAAAACAAAACAGAATAGACCATCTGAAGCTGTGCTTTTTTTCTAAGAGGAACCAAGTTTGTAGACAAGGATTAACTGATTTAAAACGTTTAACCAGAAATTCATTTTAACCAGCATTTTAGTTGACATGTTTCATCTTTGCACATGTTCAAATGGTGGATGAATAAATGTTAGAGTAGAATGAAAGAAATGTCTTTATGAGCATATCTAATTATTTCATGAAACAAATCCTGTTTCCTCCTCAAAAATGTTTTCTTTGGTTCTATATGCACAGCCAGTCAAAACTGATTATATATTTATCAAATTATAGAATTGAGTCAGGTATGGGGGGATTTATTTAACTTTTTTCTTATTTTGCTTTTCCATCTATCATGCTTTATAATAATGTTGTGGTTGAATGTAAGTTCTGATGTTATCAAATAAAAAAAAATGAAATCCTCAGTCATGGCTGCTGACATTTTAGTCACACATTAAATTTAATACAGATTTGTATGAGAACGGGGAACAAGCTCTGTAGCTCTGTAAAAGCCCATAGAATGTCAATCTCCTCCAATGTAATCTTCTAAAGGGAAGCTATTTGAAAACAGGTTGCCATAGTTACCTATGAAAGCTTGGAGAATTGGCCTTATCCTCCATCTAAATGTTGCTGTAGTTCTTTTCTCTCTTTTTTAAAATCCTTTTTCCTTTCCCTTTTTGGTACTTTAAGTCTTGTTAAATTTGCTCTGTTATCTAGTCCTCCCCCTTCATTAACACACAATCACACAAACAAGCACACACCCTAAACAGTAATGTAATGAAGTCATTAATATTAAGTACTAGGGTTAAGACCAAAATCTCTATTATACAACAAATACTATATGTGAGTTGTAGCGGTTCTTCTTTTAATGTTCCACGTTTTATAAACAAGCCAAATAATTTTATGCTTGTAATATTGACTTGTTAAATTGTAATTATTATGGAAAAAAACGCCTTTTCTCTTCTCTTTTCTCAGTAGTCTGAGCTATTAAAATAAATATTAATAATTTTAATTGTATTATATAAACATCACTGAATTGAAACAGTATAATGTATCATGATATAAAGCAACATAATAAAAAAGAAAAAACGTTGTATTCTTTGTATAAATAAAATCTATGGTTATCAATCTGCGGAATTTGTTTTACTATTTGTCTTGGAAAAATCAAAGTTAAAGCTACTAAGATGCCACAATGCATTTGGTGGTTTCCTATGACATTCTGTTTTACTATGCTTTATGCCAGGGGTCCTCAACCCCTGGTCCATGGACCGGTACCCGGGCTGCGGCATGGCAGCAACCAATCCACACAAACAAGCAAAGCCCCATCCGCAGGATGCAGGCAGCACACAAAACCATGCACTCCCATCTACAGAAAAATTTCTCTCCATAGAACCGGTCCCTGGTGCCCAAAAGGTTGGGGACCTCTGCTTTATGCTACATCATAAATAAAACCTATCCTTACCTAAAGTGCAGATTTTGACAAAAATGCCCTTGTAGAAAATATTACATTGGCTTTATTATAAAGTTCCATTTTCTACAGTGAAAGCATGGTATCTGACTTTATCAGGCACCTTCAGAAAAGTTGAGGAACCATTGCAGATCCCCATCAATATCAGCAGTATCACCTGTAGCTCTCTTTTTTATTCCTACCTTTCTCAAGCCGCCTCCTTTTGAACTCCTTTTTTGGCTTGTCATTCCAAAATTGGGAAAAAGACCATCTTCTCCCATAAGTAGTAAGCCCAGAAAAACTCTGAGTTCTTGAGTGATCCCTGTGGGATTTCAAGGTATACTAGTGTTATGTATAGATATTAAGAATTGATGTGTTTTGGTTTAAACTGTTTTGGGGGGAAAGTTTAAGTTATAGTTGAGCGAGAAAACACCATTTGATTTGATTGGTCGCCACCTAGAGGCAGCAAGTATAAATAGCCGTCATTCTGCCGGCTAAGCCAGTTCTGTTGTCTGTTGTAATAAATACGTTATTCTAAAGCGGTCTGCTTAATGTCTACAAAAACCCACTACGCAACAATTAGCATTACTGAAAATTATTAGCTTAAATACTAGATGTTCTGTACTTCACACTTATATTAATTAACTCTGTTCTTTATGTTAAATATTCAAATTGTTAGACATTTTAATATGTCCACTGAATCCAACTTTATTCCTTTAGGTCTTGGAACAATATCAAGTTTATAGTGTGCTTCAGAAGGGATGGTTCTTACATTTACTTATCAAAATGTACTAAGGAGAAAAAAGAGTGAGAAAAAGAAGTGGAAAGAAATGGAAGGACAAAATTCTGAAAACTTGTTTTAAAGCTTCATTACTAAAACAGACAGTTACATAATAAAAGTCTCGTGCTAAGCCCTCAAGATTCTATCAACTGAAATCAGAATAAAGTAGAATTTGAAAATACTTTCTGACTAAGATTTTGGTCTTATATTCTTAATTTAATGCCAAAGAGTATTTTTCACATTTTTTATTTATAGCTTATTTATTGTAAAACTTAAATTGCTATGAAGATCTTTGTGGCATTGTGCAATGAACTTTCTGTTGTTGTTTAGGTTTGTCTGCAGCGAAGTTATTGCATGATTCAGGATTGGATGTTGTAGTCTTAGAAGCCCGAGACAGGGTTGGAGGCAGAACTTACACAGTAAGGGTAAGTACTGTGTGTATGTTTGTGTGTGTGTGTGTGTGTCTTTCTTTCTGTAATTTTCCACTATAGAATGTGAGAATGTAGGGTTCCCAGTATTTTGCTGTTCAAATTGGTGCTCCATGTTATGTTCCAATTGCATCTGTTCCTTTAATCAGGAAGCCCTGCTGATAGTCACTCATGCCTTAGTCACTTTATGACTGGATTTCTATTAATGGAGCTGCCCTTGATGACCCCTTGGGATTTTAAATTGATCCAGGATACAGTGGTATGGATAGTTATGGGCAATTCTTGCTATTCCAATGTAACTCTTTTAATTCAGGAGTCCCCAACCTCTGGGCTACGGCCCATTACCAGGCCATGGCCTGTTCGCATCCAGACCACGTGAGTGATGGCTAGGCACACATGCATGTGCATGCAGCTCAACTTGCTTGTGCGGCCTGGTTCTCCTCTCCCCCTCCCCACGCAGCTGAGCCACCAAGCCACAAAGGTTGGGAACTGCTGTTCTAATTCATAAACTGCACTGGTTACCAGTTCACTCTCAGTTGCTGGTCTTACGTATGAAAATCTTTGTGGTATAGGCTTCCAGTTTGCGATCGCGGCTCTGGCGGATGCGTGGGGGGAGCGCTCTCTCTGCCGCCCATTTTTCCTTCATTGGGAGACCCTGAAAAGGGTCGAAAGTCACCTGGAGGGGCAATGACCGTGAGGAGGACCCTCAACAGATCGCGGAAGGGTGGTAGCCCTTCCGTTTGATCCAAGGCAGTTCCTTTGGACCGACAGAGAAAAGATCAGCCATTAACATGACCGATCACTAAGCTGTACCAGCCAAAAGCCAAAATCACCACCAAGCACCACGCGGAGGAATTGGGTGAGACCTTACCTTACCCTTCTTGTATCCCAACTACCTTCCTGTAAAAGCCTCTTGAAATTTCTTCCCCCCTTTTAACATAGCGGCGTCTGCCTACTTTGGGAACATAAAACTTTGAAAAGAAAAGAAAAGAAAAGAACAACTAAACTAAACAACTAAATAACTGGACTTGCACTTTTTGGATATTTGGGATTCTCATTTCTACAGGGACCTATTACCTTATCTACTTGTTAAATTGGGAAAAAAATTAAACTGGATAAAAGCCTAACTTGAGTTTGGAAAAAGACTTTACCTGCTATTGGGGACATCTTGTGGCGAAGCCTGGTATAGCAAGTGAATTTTTTTTTGACTGTGAGACCTGCTTATTGCCTAGATTTGTCCTTGGTACTATCTAAAAAAGATAAGAATTTGAAACAGCTGGGTGGTGAAAACAACTTCTAGGAATAGTAGAAGTGGACATTCACTGACTTTTATCAAAAATAGCCTTCACTAAAGAACTATCTGCAAACACCATAGAAAAGGAAGAATACTACCCACAACTTAACTATAAACCTATACTTGAAAAAATCCTTGAAGCTACTGAGCTAATGAATTCCAGATTGAAAGACAAAGGTGCCACTTTAAATTTACAAAATGGACCCCAGATTTCAACTGATGAACTTACAATCCAAAAAGCAATAGGAGAGGAACAAATTAATATCAAAGAGGACCTTAATGAACAACAAGTATAATCTACTGAGAACTTTGATAGTCCAACCTTGATTTCAACTAAAAAATCTGCAATTCAAAAAGTAACAGAAACCGAAGAAAGCAACACCAAGATGGAGGGTGCTATAGATCAACAAATACAGCATATTGAGAACCTAGATAACCTAGACAATCAAACAACAATCACAACATTGGACATAACCTCGTACTCAAGCCAGACGAAACTGGAAGAAGAAGAAGACCAGACTGAACTGACGACAAATACTCTAAACCAAACATGGAGATTTGAACTATGAGGGCAACAATCCAATGATTATAAAGGGGCCAGTTCCTTTGAAAAAATGATAACTGGATGGTTTCCCTTGATTCAAATAATATGTGTAGGAATGAAGGGAGATCCACTTGAGGATTTAAAGGCATTGGTATGGAAGCCTGCTTGGCATAAAAAGAAAGGGATGGGATAGTTTTGTTTTTGACTTATAATGGAAGAGCCTAAAATCTTACTTAATGGGCCAAGGAGATTTTAAAAGATATTAATTGATTTAATATTTAGGACTTAGATTTATAAGGGAAATGAAAATTAGCCATTAGAATATAGTTTTGAATTATAATATGGAAGTTGAATTGAGACAATAAAGGATACTTTATTAGTAAGTGATGAGGTACTAGGATAAGAAATAGAATATATTTGTGAAATAAAGTAAGAATGTATTTAAATAAACAATATGTGTATTTTAGATATGATAATTATTATGTAATGAAATAAGGGAAATTTGGGTTACCCAAAATCTAAATATTATGTATACTAAAGGCTAAACTGGAATACTGTAATTAAATTCGGTAAAATTTAAAAACAGGACATGGATATGTATAAGTTAAAATATATTGATGAATGCCTTAATTGATCGAGTTATAATTAGAAATGTATTAATTTGAATGTGATATAATAATTAAGGGAAACAGAGAGGGAATTTTTAATGATGTAATTTGAGACATGTACGAAAGATTTTGTTACTGGACTATTGATTACCCAATCATCATGCTGCTTCCTAAATACTTGGATGTAAAACTGGAAAATTAATAAAACTTGTTTTTTTAAAAAAGAAAATCTTTGTGGTATAGAGTTAGGCTATTTGCAAAACTTTCTGTCTTGAATCTTTTCTATCTGTCCAGTAAGACTTATAAAGAGTCAGTATGCTCTGGGGTCTGTCATACAGGCAATCTTACCTGGCAGAATTCAAAAGATGTGCTTTCTTTGTTGCTGTTCCTTCCCTATGGAACAACATACCCCTTGAGATCTACCTGGCAGCAATTCTGAAAGCCTTTAGAAGGGCATTAAAGAATGGTTCTTATTCAAACATTGAGTTTGGGAAAGACACGGCCTTGGATGAGTTTTTCCCCCCAGCAATTTATGTGACTATATATCTCTGGTTTATTTATATTTTTTTTGTCTTTTTATCATGTAACCTTATGGATTTATTTTTGTTTCTAATGAGGTATGCTACTCTTAATCATATGCTGAGTGGATAACTATAAACACTAGTTAAACAAATAAATGAATAAAAGTTAACTTTACCCAAGCATGAACAGCTTCATCAAAATTGGATCATACTTCTTTGAGCCAAGATCTGATTCTTGCAGATTCCTTAAAAGATTACCTTTCTGACCAGCAAAAAAGGACATTGTAATCATTATGCAAAAAATTATCAATGTTGTACAATGATAGATACATTGACACACGTTTCCCTTTTTTCCATTCATGTTAATGATACCCATGTATTCATTTACCAATATGTTATTTTTTCTCTCATCCAGAATAAGCATGTCAAGTATGTTGACTTGGGAGGAGCATACGTGGGACCCACACAAAATCGTGTTTTACGGCTGTCTAAGGAGTTAGGACTTGAGACTTACAAAGTGAATGAAGTTGAGCATCTTATTCATCATGTCAATGTAAGAGCAACTGTTTCTTAACCTCTTTTATGATGTGGGAGACTCACAAAGCTTTAATAATTTTTGAAATTTTATATTTTGGAATGGTTTGTTAAATACTCAGGTTAACAATATATGAAAGAATTCTGAAATTGAAGAAGTTTCTTCAATTTGTATTATTTCAGGAAGTCAAAGTAGGCAGAATATTTTATTTAGCACAAAGATTAAAAGATAGATACAATTGGGGTGATATATATAAGTCAGGTAGCTGGCAGAAATATTTTGGCCATTTCTTTTGGAGGTATCTCCTATCAAATCTGTTTAGTGGTTGACCTCTGGTCATGAATATTATTGTGTTAGCTAATATCGCTGACACCAATTGTCAGTCCAAATCATAGTATATTTTGTAAGGATAAAATGTGGGGAGAGAACCCCATATGTGCATTGTCTTCAGAAAAATCAGTAGCTATAAGTAATGCACAATACCAATTTTATGGCTTCCAGACAACCTTTATGTTGCACACCAAAATTTATTGGCAAAAATTATGTTTGACAGTGAATCTTTCCATTTTTTTTCTCTCAAAAAGTAAGACGCAAAATTTAGTAGTATATAATTTAAAAGTGCAATTTCCTAGTAAAAACAAACTTTTGGGACAAAGACCACTGGCTACATTGAGAAATTTAAATTTATGGAAAATTTCCTTAACTATATCTCCAAACCAATCTCAGGACATAGTACATAATTGTTTAATATAAGCCTCAGATTGATTGCCCTATTATATCAATGTAGTTTGTTTTCTTTCATAGAGGAAGGATAGTAATAATTATTTGACCATTTACCTTTATGTTAGAGAAGTGTAGAAATGTCAGCTATGACTATTACATTGTATTTAGCAAATCTCATGAATTTTATAATAACTATAACAACAGATGGTGATAATCAGTAAATTTCCCTCCCACTTCTCTGGCATTGCCTAGGTCCCTTGAGATTTATAAGATAAAGTAACAAAAAAAAAAAAAGAAAGTTGAAAGTTCATCTCATCCTGGCAAAAGCACAGGAGCCCCTACATAATTTAAAATTGAGAAAGCAATATAGACAAGCTTCTCCAAACACTTTTGGTATACCACCAAAACAGTATCATCAGGTAATATCAATGTCTATACTTAATGTATTTTTCCAGTGTTGAATTAAAATAAGTGGATTGTTTTCCCTGACATGAAGCCAGTTTTTAGAGGAGAGAAGAGAGCAGAAAAAACAGGCCTACTTTCAGACGAACGTCTACATCATCTTATTGATTCATGAACCAATTAACTTCTCAATATGCCTTTTTTTAAAGGCTCATCATGAACCCAATCTCTGCAGATTGTCATGAAACTTGCACCACAAATTTCTCCAGCATGATTGGATGGAAAATTCTCATCAAACCCTTCTTGTAGGAATTCATTTTAATTCTGCTTTTAAATTTTAAAATTCCCAAATTTTACCTTTTCTCATATTTTCTAATCAAACTTGTAAATAACAATATTATTTTCGTGTTGTGACACTCCTTTTCGTATTGAATGTATTATTCTAATTACCCTGATTTAATAATCTTCAGAATTAACTCTTTGTAAATCATAACTTTGATGACATGGTTTTGAACATGTTCTATTTCTTCTGTAATAAGCAATCTATTGTTTCTAAGAACTTTGTGTATGGCCTTATCAGACTTGACTTGACAGGTATCAGATTTTTCATTAAGCATTTATGGATCAATATTATAAGATTTTGTATATATGTATTTATTATATCTCTATGTCTTCATATTTATATCTCTTGAACCCTGTAGAATATTGTCTCTGGTTAGATGCTGCCATTGCTTCCACTGGCAAACACTATAAACTTGCAAATATATACCAATGCCCATGTGAGAGATAAGCTGAAAGCCAATAGTCTTCAGTGCAGAGTTGTCCCTTATGTCAACACCAACAACCAGTATCAAGGCCATGAACCTCAGGGCAAACAGTCTGTTGAAACATAAGACAGCTTCAGCTGTCGTGATGTAAGAGAGAAATGCAGTCTCATGCTGACAAAAGGCAACCAAGATCCTTTTATGTCATATGTCTAGGAAGGTTTGACTTTTTGACATTGATCCTTTGGGTTGGGAAGGTAATTAATAATTTATATTTTCAGAAATAGTTAAAAAGTTGCTAACTTTTTGTATCCTTACTCCAAAAAGATTTAAGTTAGAGCCATATTAGAAAAAAAAATGAAAACCTAGGTACAACGCAACCTCTTTTTTATTAGATAGTGTCTAATTATCAGAGAGGTTTCTTATGCTATTTATTTACCTATTATCCTGCCTTTATTATTTTTATAAATAACTCAAGGCAGTGGACGTACCTTCCTCCTCCTACTTTCTCCACAGCAACAAACCTGTGAGGTGTGTTGGGCTTAGAGAGAGTGACTAGCCAAAAATCACCCAGCTGGCTTTCATATATAAGGCATTATGGCCTCTGAAGACTCTCTAAGATTTCAATTTTGCTGCACTGATTATAGAATCCTGAGTATACAGTAAAGATGTCAAAAGGGGAAACTTGAACTTTTGCACATTTAAATGAACATAATTCTGTGTATCTTCTATCAAATATTATTATTAAAGATACCAAATGAATTGAGATCTAACACTGCCCCATAAAATCTTTCCTATCCAATGATACATGCTGTGATCAATTTATTAACATATGATTATCATGCTTAACTTGTATTTTTAATTAATTTGTCAATTTAATCAGACACTTTATGATAAAGCCTAACCAAATCCAATTATATCAAGAATAGAAATCAATTAAGCTGTTTTGGTGGAAACAAAAAGGCTAATCTGGACAAAATCCTTATACATTACCTTATATGGCTTATCTTTATCATGAACATTTGTAGACCGTGATAAGCATTTCTGAAATATTCTAAATAGAGACTAAGCATTCTAATGTTTTCCAGTTGATGTGAACTGTATTCCCAATAATCTTGGATTTATCTGAAACTGGAAAATTCTTAAGTATTCTTATGTAGAAGTGTAAACCTTCTTAATTAACACTTGATTTCCCAAAGGCTCCCAAATCCTATAGCATCAGGGACTGATCTGGAGAGCAGATAAATCTCCTATAATGTACTCTTTCCCTTTACTATTGCCAAAATATTGCTGCGAGTAAGTATATTTTAAAGGACAGAATTGGACAGTGAAGAGATTGGGGTAAGAAAAGTGGATGGCATATTAGGCTTCCTATCTATGTGATTGCTGAATCTACCTGATGATACGACACAAGAGATGTGGTTGCTAACACCCACTTGATGGCACATCATAATCCTATCACTTTTAGTCAAGTCTGGATTGGAAATGAACAGAACCAGATGATTTCCTAACATTTTGGAAAACAGCTAGGTCAGAGCTGGAAGCAGCACAGAAAGAGAGCACTGCAACTTCTTCAACATCCCCTTTTCATGACTTTGAATGTTCCTGCTGTTTCTGCTGTTCTCTCTTTGCTCTTTTAGTTGTTCAAGCTGTTCTTACCTAGGTTGGCCACTTACAGATACTATTCTAACACAACCTCTTAGCACTAATATGAAAAGGAGAGTTTTGCTCTCCTTGTTCTGACTGTGGTCCATACAGAAGTATAATAGAAATGGTGTGCATTTGAATTCACATCCTTTCCTGGACTTTTTAATTGTAGCTAGATGGAATAACTATCAGTTTTGAGTTGTTTCTTCTTTCGTCAACCTTATAGGGCAAATCTTATCCCTTCAAAGGGCCTTTCCCTCCAATGTGGAATCCCATTATTTATTTGGACTACAACAATCTATGGAGGACACTGGATGAAATGGGGAAAGAGGTAAGATTTGGACAAGTTGCAACTTGAGATATGGATGTAATTAGTCAATATGCTGGCTGGGGAATTCTGGAAGCTGAAATCTACACATCTTAATGTTGCTGAGGAGCTGTTTTTCAATGTGAACATCAACAGAACTAGGCAAAGCAGCCTATTCTCCAGAATGCAAGTCTGTTTCCATTCATCTGTTCTCCTTCCAAGATGCCTCTGTCCCTCCATGGGGGAAAGGGGTTGGTTTTTCTACTACTTATGGGGGTATGAATGAAAGAGGCCCAATATCTTGAACAGCCCAATTTCAAGACAGTTTATTTCTAGTACTAAGATGCTTCATTGGATAAACAACAAATAT